TTTAATTTATATGAATCCATATTAATTTTTAACGTTGAATAAAAATATTACTATTATCCAAATCGCTTTAAAAAAAACAATAGTTTAAATAAAGTGCTTTTCAAAAAGATAACACATAGTATATTACGCACCAAAGGAACGAAGTATGCCATTCCTTCTGAGTGAGTAGTTGGCCCTGGAGCGAAGCAAGGGCACCATACTCCAGGAGTGTGTAAGGACTCTCGCACACACATATACACTACTGCTCTCCGACCTCCCCAACCATCCGCTAGGTGTGTTACCGTTAGTATGAACCTTCTCGCAAGTGTCCGAATTTCATGTTGGTTAGTATATAAGGGCGTCTAAGATGAGCCAGAGTACCCCCACCGATATAGGTGTCTAAGGGTACTGATGAGTCTTAGTGTGCTCCTGTAACGAAACACATAGTAATGTTTTCTCTCTTTTCATGGCATCCCTTAGAATGCCATAAGTAAGCGGCATACTTTTGTTCCCGTGGAGCGTATACGATTTATTGACACGCCATGCGCGGGGAACGAGATTATGTGCCACATTAGATGGCCCATAATCTTGTTCCTCAAGGACGATATGTGTCAAAAAGTTTTATACACCACACGTGCGTCAGTCGCCTTCCTATCGCACTAGTATCGTAATGTACTGTTTCGACACGTCGTGCGTGGGGACTCAATTATGAGCCATCTGTCATGGCTCCAAAGACCTCGATTTACACACGCTACTCACAGCTCGTGATATGCACTCATACGAGTGCGTGCGTACGTCGAGGTCTTTGTAAAGCCATATTAGATGGTCCATAATCTCGTTCCCCGCGCACGCTACAGCGAAAAGTTGTATACACTACACTTGCGAGAGGTTAGGTGACTGACACGCGTGCGTCAATCGCCTTCCCAGCGCACTCGTATTGTAATGTTCTGTTTCATCATGCCGGGTAGAAAGTTCATACAACGTAAGCCTTGTTAATACATATATGTGTAATATACACTGCTCTCGTTTGCTCAATCAAAGCTTTTTGTTATCCGTTCGCTCATTCTCTTTCTTGTCTCATTTTCTCGTGAGTGCTAGTGGACGCGTCCGCAAATATCGCAGTAGCCCTTAAGCAGCTGCATCAGTGTAAAAAAAAAAACGTCTTGACGGCCGGTCGGTGTAACTATAGCAGTACACGCCACCTGAGCTGCAGTAAAAGACAAGCTTCCTCTTCGCCTCTGAGTCGGTAGGCTGCATGCATGATGACATCCAGGTAAATGTGTGATCAGAGTTTATAATTCACAAATTTATATGTATGCGTCAGGGCGTAAAGTAGTTTGTGGTTTTAGTACAGTGTGCACACGTGTGGTGTAGGTAACCTTGAAAATGTTTTTTTTTGTTAACTCAAAATTTATTCACAACTTTTTCAATAAATTGTTTCTGCTTTCAGTATTGAAAATGTTGAATGAAGAATCCTCTGATTCAGATACTAACAAGGAAGAAGAATTTATTAGAGATTTTAAGGCTAAAAGACAAAAAATAATTTAAAAATTATTACCCAAGAAATCATGTGCAAAATGTGAACTGTGTTACAACACCTGTATAAACTGGTGCAAGAATTCTAAAGCTGATTCCTACACAGAAAAGGATCTGCTTGTGTATTTTAAGAAACTGTGAGAAAAGTGTAAGCCTTCAACTTTATGGAGTAAATGGTCCATGCTTAAAACTTTACTTTACAGTTGAGAAACAACATAAATCTAGAAAATTAAAAAAATTTTAAGTCTTTTTTAAAAGTGTTTGCAAAAGGTTGCACACCGAAAAAATCGAAAGCTTTTACATCGGCTCAAGTTCTTGAATTTATAGAAAATAGTGATGACATAATCTGTTTTGCTCTAAAGGTATTAATAAATTTTAGTATTTCTTATATACGTACAGTAAACTTAAAGCTGTATCTGCATTAATATATTCTAATATAAGTATTGTCTTTCAAGTAGTGTTAATTTTCGGCTTATGCGGTACTTTAAGGTGTCAAGAAATTTGTAACATAGTTATGGATGACACTGAAGATGCAGAAAAACAGTTATAGTTGTTGTTAAGATACAAAAACTTATTACCCTAGATGTTTTGTAATTAGGGAGCAGCATAAATTTTATAGAAAGGTACATTAGTATCTTCGATTAAGACCTAGTACTGTCGACACTCCTAGATTTTTTTTGGGTTACAAAAGTAGAAAGTGTATCAATCAACGTATGGATAAAAACAAAATTGGAGGGATACCAAAAAAGATTGCTTTGTACCTCAACGTGGCGAATCCAGAAGAGTATATATACATCAGGGCATACCTTCCGACGTACTGGTGCCACTTTTCTTTCTCTTGCAGGGGCTAATTTAGGCTAAGTCAAGACTCTTAGAAGATGGAAATCTGATTATGTTGCTCAAGGTTATATTGATAACTTGATAGCAAATAAAAGAGAAATTTTTGTAAAATTCAGAGATTAGTACTTAGTACTGCTGGTAGTACTTCTTGTTTAATCTTTCCTGTACAAGTGACGACTACTGTGATTGCTGGGGTCCATCACATCAAAGTTTGTCTGATTAATTTTCTGAAGGAATAGTTGAAGCAGATTTGTTTAATTTAATTAATGATATCGAATCAGAAAATCTAGATAAGCCAAGTAATTCAATACAAAAAAAAACTTTTATTTCCGAACCTTCCTTAAAAAAGGAAAATTTCAGTACGCGAATAACACTAATAACGAAAACCGATTCAAGGATGAATGTACTTCTGGACCAGTTCCACAGTTTTTTTATTGTGAAACTCATCAGCTTATTTTTAATCATGGATGTAAAAATTAAAATTATGATTTAATTATGTAACACATGCAAACGTTTTTCTGTTTCTAAAATAATTATACTGTTTGTAGATTGAAAATTGTACGAAGACTGTTACACCTAAGATTTGTATTAATAAGCCATTATTAAAATACACACAGTATTAATTTCAAATTAAGGTTAGAGTATTATTGTACAGTCAAAAATAATTGTAAGATTTAAATCAACGGAATGTACCTAAAATTTTATAATTAATAAACGAAAAATTTTGTTAGTTTATACATTTTTAATTTTTTTCATTCATTAAGGAATTCATTGTCAGAGTGAGAGAGTGAATACGGTAGTTGCACTTAAGAGAGAGCATCCGTTACATGCGCCGTACGCTTCTGAGCTGCCAAGGATAGGGGACAATGGCTCACTTTGCTCCCTAAAACCAAGGAGTATTGACAAACTTTCTGTTGGTGTATAATAAAAAAATATCTTCAACTTATTAATGGAGATATGTTTTCTCAACTATCATAGATAATGCAATTTTTAAATAAATCTTCCAACTTATTCTAAAGAAAAAAAATTTTTAAGAGGGACGTTCGGTGTCATTGAAATTTTTTTTCTAATTATTTTAAGATATAAAGTTTTCTATTTAATTGTAAGAATCAAAATCATGCGTATCTTGGAAAGTAGCCTGGCATAAAATTATAGTATATACGCACCCGTATAGTGAGCGAAGTTGAGAATGTCGCAGATTTCACGTGAATACGCGCCCGAGGCGAAGTTTTTAACCTCCGAATGTGGTGCGTATACTATTTTTCTGCATACCCTTGCCGAAAGGGCTGATTATCTCGACGCCCTGGACGAAGACTATGCCCTTTTCTGGAGCCTGGACAAAAATTGCGCCCTTTTGTATGTTCTAGACGAAAACTATGCCCTTTTGGAGTCCCAGACGAAGACTATGCCCTTTTCTCGAGTCTGGACGAAAACTATGCCCTTTTTTTTAGTCCGTATGAAGACTATTACATTTTTTCTGAGTCTGGATGAAGATATTGACTTTTTCTGGACCCCGGATAAAGAAGTACAATTCATTTAAGCTCACCTTATATTTGTGTTTGTAATTAGATATATAGTCAAATATACTTGTATAGTGGTTGTTGTTTACATTTATGTAAATAATTATAAATAATAATACACCATTATAAAATAATAATACAAACTCAGGTATGTTTTTATAAGCATGGTAGTTTGCAACTAATGAATACGAAAGACTTCTTTATGTTTTATTTCCAAATTTATTATTTTTACTACATTTTTGTTGATTATAATAAGTAACTAATATAATTATTGTAACTTGAAGTTAAAAAGCTAATAAAATTTGTACAATTTGTGATATACTAAAATATAATATTCGTTAGGAAATTGAAAAAAAAGTAAACTTTTTTTTATTAATTAATGTTTGTGAGACATGCATATTTGGATTTCAAAGTATTTCTTAACACATGAATAAATTAGCAATTTTAAAATAATTACAGTTATTTTTATATACAGTTTAAGGAATCTTTTAAACAAAAGCTCAAAACCCCCTTTTTTCAAACACTTACCAAAACTTTAAATACTTAAGCCGTTAGACCTGCTAAGAATAATGATTACATGTTGTTTTTTTACAAAGGCGTCTGTAGATTCACGTACATGTAAGTCTTGATGTGAAGATAAAACTTATATCGATATGAATATATACACAAGTATCGATAAATCTGAAAATGTTAAATCATTTTCAGAAGCTTCGTATTCGTGAGCTTCTTCCAGCGTAGCAGTAGCTGGTAGAGGGGTTAGTAAATCATATTGAGGTGTTTTTTAATTTAGTTTTCGTCTGTACGCGAAAAAAAGACATATTTTTATCCCAGACTCAGAAAAAATGGCATAGTTTTCGTCCGGACTAGGAAAAAAGGGTATAGTCTTCGCCTGAGACCAAAAAAAGGGCATAGTTTTCGTCCAGACTAGAAAAAAGGGCATAGCCTTCGCCTGGGACGTCAAAAGGACATAGTTTTCGTCCAGGGCCAATTAGGACATAGTCTTCGTCCAGGGCGTCGATCTGTTTTGGAGCAGATCAGATATGGAGCACTTTTGGCGGGGGTATGCAGAAAAATGAAGTAACTTATTAAGATGTACTATTTATAGAAAAAAGTTTTTAAGTTTACCTTGTAATTTTACCAAGTTCTGCCTGGATTTCTGGTAACTTCATCCCCATGGTTATGACTAACTGCTTATTGTCATCAAGAACACACACCTATAAATAATTAATCATTAATCAATAAGACAATTTATCAATGAGGCTCACATCTGACTGTCTAGTGCATTAAGTAGCATATCAAAAAATCACTTTAAACTTGTTAGTATATTAAAAAAAACTTATAAAATACTTTTAATTTACTAAAAAATACTGCTAAAAATATTTGGTTTCTCGAAAATTCATTTAACAATTATGAAATTTCGTATGTAATGTACTAAAATGACGTAATATTGTGTAAATAATAGAGAAAACAATACCAAGATCTATACCAAGTAACTATAGATTTTCAAAAAATTTCACAGGTGATTAAAACTTGTACCCCTGTTAAAAAATTTTAATAACTTTGTATGTGTCATCCAAAGCTACTAATACAAAGCTTCTATTTTTGGTAATACAATTTGTACTTTCAAAAAATGCTATGCCATCTATTACAATTTGACTACAAATTCTTACAACAATTATTGTAACTGTAGTGATTTCATGTTCTATTATTTTCTAACCATTTTTAAAGGACAAATATTATTTCAGACGAAATGTAAAGTAAGTATATGTACCTTGTAAGTTGACTTTTAGAACCAGCTAGTTAAAGTATGAAAAAAAACTATTACTGGCATAAAAATGATATTTTGTACAAATTTCATTTATGTCATTTAAGGAGGTTCCAGTGAGTAGGGATACCAACCCGCATCTTGAGTGATTTTTGAGTGACATTTGGTTCTCATCTCAGTTCCCTCAGTTAGTTTTTTTTGTAGTGACGCACCATTTGTAAAATTTGCTTAAACAATAAACATCGTAAGAACTAAATTGCCTTTTATATCACTGAGTATCACAATGTTTACATGTCTGGATAAGATTCGGAAATCTATTTACGGTCGGAGCTCACCGATAATTTAGAGAACTCCCGTGCTAGTAGCACCCCGCCCTAAGGTGCCAGTCATTCCCCATATAGAATACGTTATTATTTTTCAAATAACTTTTTTTTCATGCCTCCTAGAGCAAATTTAAAAAAAGCATGTTGAAGTTCAAGTTTAATCTAAAAAATAGACATCATAAGATAGTTTAAAACAGGTTCATTTGTATCGAGTGTGGGCGATTAAAAATGCGAGAGCAGGCACTCTATTAGATAAAATTTTTCATGTTTTTTATTAAACTTACGCTGCATTGTTTAGTGTTTTACTTGGAGAGGGAAAAGTAATCATTAGGAATTGTTATTTACAAGGTTTAAATTAAAAATATTTTATCAGTCGGGAGAAACTGAGGTGCTAGAGTTACCTAATAAGCTTGTCATTCCTTGGTCTCCCCTAGATAGATAACGCAGATTACGGCCGCAAATTGTCTGCAAATCAGCTATAAGAGACACTGAGAAGCAAGAAGTATCTTTCTCCAGCGAGCTTGGGGCGCAAAAATCCACTGTCTACTAATACCTGGAACTCTGCCATGCACCACTACTGATCGCCACGCACACAGACCAAGAGAAAAAGATCAAGTGCGAAGGCCAAGATAGTAAAAGGAAGTGTGAATGTCTTCACGAGAATAACTAATACTAACTGGTGTCTATTTGGACTTCTGGTGCTCAACCACTTACAGCGTGCTGTCGACGTACTCTCAAACAGTCAAGGTACTAGGGATTGTGACAATGCTCCTCGGACGAAAAATCTGGGTTGATTACTAGAGCCATACTCAAGACATCCAAAGGACCCGAGGTCTACCTAACCCTACGTGACTTATTCAGGACAAGTGTAGAGCCCAGTACCAACACTCCGTGGCTGTGTTAATTGTTAAAAAATGATCTTATTCATAAATATAGGCATCAGTAGCGCTCTCTCAACCTAGAATTCAACAATTTAAATGACAGCAATACTCAAAATAATAGCAGTTATAATTATTGCAATAATCGTTAACAACAATAAAACTTTTCTCAACTACACAGAAGCATTCTGGCCTTTAAAATAATGAATCTTAAATATAAACGAGTGGCCTACGTGACTTTTAACATGAGTCGCAGGCTATAAAACGCGTTGGATTTTTCCGCAGCATTCTAGTTGGAATTGAAATTCTGTTCCAGGTGGAGCTTGCGACGCTCTATTTTGGCGCCCTCCTTTAAAACTCTACGGCGAGTATTCAGTCTGTAATTGTTTCACGATTGATTAGGGTAGTTTCGAGTGAGTAATCGCGTTTCTAAGTGTACTCCAAGATACTCAGACGTCATTTCTTGAGACGAATTTACTGTTGACCCCGTTGGGACTCTACTCATTGAAATCAACGGGGTTCAGGGCAACCAAAGATCGACTCCCCAGGATTCGACTGACCTGCCGTTTTAGTGTGTAACAGGTGATGGACCCACCACCTAGGACCATGAATATTTGTTACGATATGACTGGAAGAAAGAAAATTTACTACTTAGTTTTTGTACTGGCAAGGTGACCAGGTTACTGTCCCTTTACACAACGATAGGTTAGAAAAAATTAATGAAGCGCATGATTTTCTAATAGGAGGACATAAGAGCATAGCAAAGACCTATAGTAGAATACACGAGAGATATTGTTTGGGCAATATGAAAAAGGAGATCTTATAATACGTGTGTACTTTTAGAAAATTCCAATAAAAAAACTAGTTGTCGTAAAAATTAAATTACCCATGTTTATAACAACCGCCCCTGAAGAAGCATTTGAGGTCATAGATATAGACATTTTCGAAAGACTCCCTATTACTGAGACAGGTAATCAATATATTAAAACGATACAAGATAATTTAACGAAATATTCAGATGCCCTACCTCTACCTTATGCCACCTCCAAAACGGTGGCCACTCATTTCACCCTAGAATTTATTTGCTGGTTTGGATACCTAAAAATGATAAAAACAGACCAGGGATCAAGTTTCCAAAGCCAACTGATGCGAAGTATTCAAGATCAAACAATTGAAATCCACAGCTTTTAGACCTCAAACCATGAGTTACACTGAAGGAAGCCATCACTCTTGGTACAGTATTTAAAAATGTATCTTGAGCAGGGTGAACGGGATATTTGGCTCAAATTTATCCTTTTTAATATAACACATCGACTGAAGATAATATCCCTCATGAGCTCGTTTTTAGGCATTTTATTTAGTATTTTTATTAAAGGAACCTAAGTTAGGGAAATTTAATAACCAAAATACGGGGCAATACTAAATAATTGAATTAATTGGAGAAAGAAATGCAAAATTAGATTTAGGGCCTAATATAACTATGAGTGTGCATCTGAATAAGCTCAAACGTGCCCATCTGTGACACGATGTATAAAATCATAAGCTTAATTGTAAATCTACCTCACCTGTAAACAGCCTAATAAAGAAGCTAGAGGGAAAATAAGGAGCTGGCAAGAGTAGTCGCAGCTTGTGACGAGGCAGGGAAATCGAGGAATTTTTATCAAAATTTTGAATCACAAATACCGAATATTTATTTATTTTTTCCTGTTCTTAAAACTTCCTCATGTTGAAGCCTTGCCCCCCCCCCCCAACTTTAAAAAAATCGCCCCAAACAAACACGCGATCTCCCGCTTGAATGAATAAAAATTATTAGCAGTGCAAACAGGTCTACTCTCCTTTAAATTAACGTAGCTTTTACACGTAAGTTTTGTTAATCCTACCTCGATTGTTATTTACCTGCTTTTTTCATACATTCTATAAATTCATATGACTTGGCAGATTTCCAAAGGATGCTGATTTAAGAAAAAAGTGGCTATATAATTAAAATCTACCTATTTCTTTTGAAGGCCCAAAATGTGATATGTAGTGACTACTTCAGAGATGAAAGTTTTTATGAGTCCGAAGGGCGAAGCAAGAGACGGTTGATGACAGGCACCCTTCTCGATGCATGCAGAGTCGAAAAAAATGACTCTCTATCTGAATCTACTTTTAAAAAATAAGATAGGACTGACGTGCTACTCAGCCCAGCTCAGAATTTAGTATCCATTGATACATCTAACCAGTCACCTTCAGCTGAGAACAAAGATTCTTTTGACAATAGTGATACAATTAATGAGGTAGTGCAATGTGCCCTTACTCTTAATGATATTTCAAATGATCTGACAACTCACACTCAAAATTCCGCTTTGTCTACTCCAGAAATAATTCAAGATATTGTGAATGATGCAACTGATTATTCGTTATCCAGTTCGGGATGTAGTCCGATTCAGTTAACTAAAGACTCTGTAAGAAAGAAAGTTGCAGATGATTGTGCCTCATTAAGAAATCATACAAATTTTTTCTGTAACCTTAGAAAAAGGTACATATTATTTTATACAATTGTTTTAGTGCAGATATTTCAGACTAACGTAATGGAATTGCAGGAAAAATACATTTGAAGATAATAGTAAACCAAAACGGATCAAGTTTATGGATGGATTCCAAACTTTATACCTATCCAGATCAAATTTTACAAATAATGAGGGATGGCATGTATTTTTGAAGTGCAAAACCGTGCAAGAAAGAAAATTAGCTGCAGTTCACAACAAAAACTTTCGACACAAAAAAAAAAATTTGTGGTTACAGTGGTGTGATTAAAACTCTCGAGACTAATCATGAAAACGGTGCTGCAAACTTTTTGAAGGTCATTTGAAACTTTCAAAAATATTTTTATTTGAATTTTAAAACATTCAGTCTCAGATGAATTGTTGTACTCATGATTTTTTTTCGTTTATTTATATAGATATATTTTTAATTTAGATTTTTTATAAATATTTTTCCATCATACGTGATTTCAAATGTATGGAATCGCAAATCAATATTTTTACATACTTACATATCTGTAATGTTGATACATTCAGACAAGACTTACCAATTTTATTAAGAATAATTGTCCTGACAAAACACTGTCTGTCGTACAGCAAACATTAAATATTTATTGCTTATTTACGTAATATAAAATTTAATAAATACATACTTCAATTTAGGTTTATAATATGTATTTAATTATAAATACCTCATAATGTGACATTATTTCCATCATTGCAGTA